ATCTCCTGACCTTGTCCGCCCTCCCTCCCAAGTGCTGGATTCAGGCTGAGCCACCCGCCGGCTATTTGTATTTTCAATAGAGAGAGGGTTTTGCCATGTTGACCAGACTGTTCTCGAACTCTTCAGGTGATCTGCCCACCTCGGCCTCCCAAAGTGCTGGGATTACAGGCGTGAGCCACCATGCCTGGCCAAATTGTATATTTTTTAAATGGTCCCTTTACCTGCAAGGAGACCTAGATTGATTGTAGCAGGCCTGAGTGGATAGGGAGAAGCAGCTGGGAGTCTACTGTAGAAGTCCAGGCAGGAGCTAATGGTTAGTTTATGAGATGCTTTCAAATGTCGTGCCTTGTGTAATCCTTATAATGGTGATCTTTCAATATACAGGTGACAACCTGAGGCTCAGAAAGTTATGTAGCATGCCATGGTCAAACTGTGCAGGTGGCAAAGCGACAACTAGAACTCAGTTATTTGACCCTCAACCTGGTGGTCTCCTGGCAGCATTAGGACCCTATGTACTAGCATCCTTGGGTGAGGGCAATTGGTTTATCTTAAGAAAGGTTCTGGCCAGGTGTGGTGGCTCATGCCTATAATCCCAGCACTTTGGGAGGCCAAGGCAGGCGGATCACTTGAGGTCAGGAGTTCAGAACCAGCCTGGCCAACATGCTGAAACCCCGCCTCTACTAAAAATACAAAAATTAGCTGGATGTGGTGTGATGCGCACCTGTAATCCCAGCTACTTGGGAGGCTGAGGCAGGAGAATCACTTGAACCCAGGAGGCAGAGGTTGCAGTGAACTGAGATCACACCACTGCACTCTAGCCTAGGCAACAGAGCGAGACTCCGCCTCTTAAAAAAATAAAGGATCTGTTTTTAAGAAATGGAATTCTCATTCCTTGGTGGAGGGTTGTAGTAAGAAAGTTATTTTTAGCCTAGCTTTATGACTCAGAGAAGTAGAACAGGACATGACTTGATATTAGACGGGAGCATCTTTTTCGAAAAAATAAATGTATTAATTTCAAGTGTTTTATGTATGCTATGTGTCATTCCAAAATTGGACTTGAAACAGCTTTCAAAACTACATATGACACGTCAAGACACAAAAAGAAGAGAGGGCAAAAACATCAAGGTAGGCAAACTAAGATGATGCCAGGAACATCCAATAAATATTTGCCCTCAAGTCCTCCCCTGTGTTGAAGATGAGTCATGAGCAGCTATAAGATTCACATGCCCAGAAACATTAAAACAAACCAGTTGTTCCGTCAGTATAGCTCTTCCTCTTCCTCCTACTGGAATCTACAAACTTCCCCATTTGGTTTTTATAAAGACTCCATGATGGAGTAAGCGATGTCTGTGCAATTTCATAGTACCAGGCTCGGGGGCGGGGGAAGCTAAAATGAATTAACACCGTTAATGTCTGGAGACCACCTCATTTCTCCAGGAACTGCCCCGCAAACCTTATTACTGTGTTTCCTACCTACTGTGTGACCTTTGGTAAGATAGTTTCCTTCATAGTAAAATCAAAGGTTTGGACTAGAACTAACCTTCTCAAACTGGGTTCTCTGGAGTATCCAATATTGTGTCAGGAGGAATGTGAAGCCACAGGACAAACATAACATATAGGTTTTGCTTGAAGATTTTTATGACAAACATTCTGGCCACACACGGTGGTTCACACCTGTAACCCCAGCACTTTGGGAGGCAGAGGCCAGCAGATCACTTGAGGTTAAGAGTTCAAGACCAACCTGGCCAACATGGCAAAACCCCATCTCTACTAAAAATACAAAATGTCTCACGTAGTTTTGTGCTACACCATAAAAAGGGAAAGAAGGATCACAGATGTGCCTTTTGTGGCTGTTCAAGTAACACGGGACATTTCCCCAAAATAAAACACTGAGGGTCAATGTTTGTTTTCAGAAAAGTCTGACTTTCCAGAATAACTACAAACACAATCCATTTCATTCGATCTGCTGGCCTTGGCCTCCCAAAATTAGCCAGGCATGGTGACGTACACCTGTAGTCCCAGCTACTCGGGAGGCTGAGGCAAGAGAATCGCTTGAACCCAGGAGGCAGAGGTTGCAGTGAGCTTAGATCACGCTACTGCGCTCCAGCCTGGGTGACGGAGTGAGACGCCATCTCAAAAAAAAAAAAAAAAAAAAAAAAAAAATTATGAAATGGATTGTGTTTGGGGTTATTCTGGAAAGTCAGATTTTGCTGGAAACAAACATTGACCCTAAGTGTTTTATTTTGGGGAAATGTCCTGTGTTACTCGAATAGCCATGAAAGGCACATCTGTGATCCTCCTTTCCCTTTTTATGATATAGCACAAAACTACGTGAATTCTGTGTTTCGCTTATATATTAATAATCTGCTTTCAATTCATAGAGTTTACATGTTCATTACCTTGATATTACATTTTAAAGGAGACATTTTACCATTATAGAAAGAAAACTCAAAATTCTGCACAAATAACATATGCCAGGAATGGTGCTTCATAAATATTTTCTCTGTTCTCCACAACGGTCCTGCCACGAATGATTTCTGCTTTATAGATGTGGAAACTGAGGCTCAGGAAAGTTGAATATACTTGTCTGGATTTACTTAGCTAGTAGATGAGAGATGGAGGAGTCTAAATTTTATTTTATTGTCCAGACGGCATACAGTTAATTTCAAGACACACTTTCTCGTACTTTGTACATTCGTTTTCATAGTTTTTATCAACCGCTATGATCTTGATTACTAGGTATTATCCAGGATGCAGCATTTCAGGAATTATCTTTCCACACAGTTGGGTAAAGATTATGTGTATTGAAACATAAATCGTTTAACAGCTATTGCTCTATAATTTATTTGAGGGTGTGGCTTTTTTCTTTCAGGAGGTCATTGTTAACAAGATTAAAACTAGATCATGGTGAAGTATTATTGCTGTGTTCCCATAAGGTTATGGATCTCACCGAGCACCCAGTCATTCCAATATAAAGATAGTTATGGCAGAATAATTTTGAGCTATAAGTGATATTAAAGGCCATTTAATCCAGAAGGTTTCCAACTGTGCTCTATGGAGTCCTAAAGGTCTTACGGTATCCCCACAGGGACACAATGAATGATGGAACTGGGGGCATCTCCTGACAACATCCCCTACCCATACTTCAACCAGCTTCTGTTTTTTTTTTTTTTTTTTTTTTTTTTTTTTGAGACGGAGTCTTGCTCTGCCACCCAGGCTGGGGTGCAGTGGCCGGATCTCAGCTCACTGCAAGTTCTGCCTCCCAGGTTTACGCCATTCTCCTGCCTCAGCCTCCCGAGTAGCTGGGACTACAGGCGCCCGCCACCTCACCCGGCTACTTTTTTGTATTTTTTAGTAGAGAGGGGTTTCACCGTGTTAGCCAGGATGGTCTCGATCTCCTGACCTCGTGATCCGCCCGTCTCGGCCTCCCAAAGTGCTGGGATTACAGGCTTGAGCCACCGCGCCCGGCCCAGCTTCTGTTTTATTGGTGTTGTTTCTGCATCTGGTTAGATTTTTGGTGGAAAAAAGTGTGCTACAACTAAAACACAAAGAAAAAACAAACACAATGTTTTTTTTAATGTTGAGAACTACTGATAATCCAACTCCTTTATTATTTTTTTATTTTTATTTTTAGTTATTTAACTTTTTTTGAGACAGAGTCTTGCTCTATCGCCCAGGCTGGAGTGCAGTGGCACAATCTCAGCTCACTGCAGCCTCTGCATCCTGGGTTCCAGTGATTCTCCTGTCTCAGCCTCTTGAGTAGCTGGGTTTACAGGCACACACCATTGTGCCCAGCTAATTTTTTGAATTTTTAGTAGTGACAGGGTTTCACCATGTTGGCCAGGCTGGTATTGAACTCTTGACCTCAAGTGATCCACCCACCTTGACATCCCAAAGTGCTGGGATTACAGGCGTGAGCCACCATGCCTGGCCTCCTTTATGATTTTTCCACGAGAGTAAACTTTGGCTTAGACAGATGAAATGAACCGGGCATGACAGAGGTAGCGTTAAAACTAGCCTTCTGGTTCCCAGTCTGGTGTTGAAACCACTGTGCCATATTGAATCTTGTATAAGTTATTCGGAGCTTCAGGTGGCTTGATGGGAGCTCTCTGTAGTTTGGAAAATCAGGTAGATTATATTTCCACACATTGGGAGACTGAGGCGGATGGATCACTTGAGGTCAGGAGTTTGAGACCAGCCTGGCCAACATGATGAAACCCCAGCTCTACTAAAAAATACAAAAATTAGCCAGGCGTGGTGGTGGGCACCTGTAATCTCAGCTACTCAGGCAGCTGAGGCAGGAGAATCACTTGAACTCGGGAGGTGGAGTTTGCAATGAGCCGAGACTATATGACTGCACACCAGCCTGGGCGACAGAGCAAAACTCCATCTCAAAAAAAAAAAAAAAGAGTCTGAAGTCTACATTTTAGGGCAGAATAGTAAGTCTCTTTCATACCAACTCTGATTGGTAGTGGGTAAGTGGAGTACTTGCTTCAGTGGTTTTGGGAACCCTCTCTGGACCCTGCAGGAATAGTTTGAAGATCTATTAGTGATGTGAAGCATAAGCCCCCAAATTGGCTGGGAGGTCCATGAGCTAGATATGATCATTTCTCTAAAGGATACTACCTCTTCTTTTTGTGAGTCTATAAGCGTAAAGTATAGGCTACATCTGTATTCCTTCTTAAACATTATGTGCCTCTTGAAGTCATGCACACTCTGAAGAAGGCAGAGAGAAAAACACAAATGGAGAAATTGGTCATTTTCTTATTATTACTGTTCCTTGTTTCTTTAAGAATCAGATAAGCAGTTGCACTTCTTGGTTTGTAGAGAACATGATAATTAGAGTAATGGTATTTCATTTTTTGAAGAAAATAGCCCCACAATTTCTAACCATTATGCTTTGGAACTACAAGAGGATCTGTCCCCCCAATTTCTAATGCACATATGAAAATTATATTGAAATAGAAAATATTTCTAACCATTTCTTTTTTAACCCTTAGGATTTGCCTTAAAGGACACGCCAAAAATTGAACAGAGAAATCCCAAGGAAGCTGCCTGAATTCGCCTGTATATTCTCGTTCTGCATCTTATAAAGGACCAGACAAATCACATTTGTGGTTTTGGTGAGTGTACTTCCTCTGGTCCTTTTCCTTTCCACTTCAGCAAGAACATAAGTTTTCATTCCTATCAACCAAGATACCTGCTGCTTGGATAATGTGTAACTGTTTGTGTTCATGTGGCAACATTAGTGGAATATAGAATATGATAAGTCATCTGCAACCCACAATATAAACCTTTATGTCTTTGTGCGCTTTACATCTTTGTGACTTAAGAGACAAGATATCACTATGTGTTGCTTATAAATCTGCCTCTTAACCTCCCAAAAAAGAGGTCAACTGTATTTCTTTCTTTCTTTCTTTCTTTTCTTTTTTTTTGAGACAGTCTCACTCTGTTACCCAGGCTGGAGTGCATTGGCGTGATCTCAGCTCACTGTAGCCTCCACCTCCTAGGTTCAATCAATTCTCGTGACTTAGCCTCCTGAGTAGCTGGGATTACAGGTGTGTACCGCCACACCTGGCTAATTTTTATATTTTTATTAGAGACCGAGTTTTACCATGTTGGCCAGGCTGGTTCTCAAACTGCTGGCCTCAAGAGATTCACCTGCCTCAGCCTCCCAAAGTGCTGGGATTACAGACATGAGGCACAGCACCCAGCAGTCAACTATGTTTCAGTCAGACTGTATTTTGATTGTGTGACACGAGGAAGGGTTCTTTGGTACAAACTAGATTAGGATTCGTGTGATAATATCTTGTGTTTTTTTAATCAATCCTCATACTTTCTCTAAGTTTCTGTTTCCTCACCTGTCATATAAGGTAAAAATAACTGTCATCCCAATTCATGACAGTCCAAAGAAAGACAACATATGTAAAAGCACTTTGACAACCATTTAATCATCTCCAAGTAGGATTGAGCCCAGTAGGCAGAGGTTGCTGTTAGCCAAGATCTTTTTTTTTTCTTTTTTTTCTTTTTTTTTTTTTTTTTTTAAAGAGACGGAGTCTCACTCTGTCGCCCAGGCTAGAGTGCAGTGTCACGATCTCGGCTCACTGCAACCTTTGCCTCCCGGGTTCAAGCAATTCTCCTGCCTCAGCCTCCTGAGTAGCTGGGATTATAGGTGCGTGCCACCACACCCGGCTAATTTTCATGCCCAGGTAATTTTTTTTTGTATTTTTAGTACAGACGGGGTTTCACTGTGTTGCCCAGGATGGTCTTGAACTCTTGAGCTCAGCCAATCCGCCCGCCTCGGCCTCCCATGTGCTAGAATTACAGGCATGAGCCATCATGCCCTGCTGAGCCGAGATCTTTCTGTGGATCTAGTGAGTGAGATTATTCTATGGGCGATAATCCCCTGTGTGCTAGGAAGGGAAGGTAAGAGAAAGACTAGCCTCACCCTGACCTTGGATCCCAGCCCTCACACAGCTCCAGAAGGTGGAGGCAGTAGATACCGGTGTGTCAGGGAGGGGCTGCTGGCTACACTGATGTGCCCAGCAATCTCTGTGAGAGAAAATAGGTACCTTGTCTTCATGTCCCCTAGGCTGGGTTTTGGATTTAGTCCATTGAATTCAGGGACTCAGAGAGCTAAATATTTTTAATTGTAATTTTTTTCTTCTTATAAAAGTATACTAATGGAAGGAAATCTGGAAATTATAGAAAAATGTAACAAAATCTACCTATAATCCCACAATCCAAATATAACCAGAATTAACATGGTATATTTACTCTGATTTTGTTTGTTTAATTTCCACATACAGTAGTCAGCCCCCATCTGCAGTTTCACTTTCCTTGGTTTCAGTTACCTGTGGTCAACTGTTTTCCAAAAATAGAGGCATACAGTATGATATTTTGAGAGAGAGAGAGAGAGAGACCACACTCATATAACTTTATTATTAGAGTATTGCTATAATTGTTATATTTTATTATTGTTGTTGTTAATCTCTTACTGTGCCTAATTTATAAACTAAACTTAATCATAGGTGTGTATTATATATGTAAATATGTATAGGAAAAAACAGTTTATATAGGGTTCAGTACTATCAGAGGTTTCAGGGATCCACTGGGGGTCTTGGAGCAGGTCCCCCTCAGATGAGGGGGGACTACCACATATCTTTAAATATTATTTAGCAAAGTTAAAATAGCTGAGAATATTAAACAGGTACTCTAAGCTGTGGCTATGCCACAATTTATTGACCATTTTTATACCATTGAATATTTGTGTTTATTACATGTAAATATAAACTATTATGTTCATTGCATTGTGTTATGAATAGCACTGCAGTAAATATATTCGAATGTAAATCTTTTCTTGAGTATTTGATTATACATGTCTATAAATGGAATCACTGGGCTAATGAGAATTGACTACTTAATGAACACTGTAAAGCTCTTGATATTGTCTGTTTCAGAAACATTTTACCCACCTTCCCAACTATCTCCACGCATCATATATGACAATGTGCATTTCACAGGGCACATGTAAAAACTGTGTATTACCAATTTAAGATTTAAAACCAGAAATACTTTTATAGAGACTCAAAAAATACTTAGGTTGGTGCAAAAGTAATTGCAGTTTTTGCCATTAAATGTAACTATAAAAACTGCAATCACTTTTGCACCAACCTAATAAAAGCCTATTCCCTCCCCTTTATCTACCCCACCTCTAGCCAATATCAGGTCTCTAAAGTAGAAGACAGTGTCCCAGATCTGTTATTACTTATCAACCTCAGTCTCTCACGTCTCTTTATGGGAAAAGATATGTGAGGCCTACATTTATTCACTGAGTATTTATTCTTACCACTTATGTTCATTTCTTGCTCTGTGCATCAGGAGAAGCTGCTGGTTCATGTGGTACTTCTGTTTATTATGATTATATTTTTGAAGCACCACCATACTTTTTCTCACAGGAGCTGCACCATTGTACATTCCCACCAGCAACACACAAGGGTTCCAGTTTCTCCACATTCTCAGCAACACTTGTGGGGTTTTTTTTGATAATTGCCATCACAGTGAGTGTGAAGCGGTATATCGTGGTGGCTTTGATTTGCATTTCCCTAATGATGAATGATGTTGAGCATCTTCTCATGTCCTTATGAGGCATCTGTGTGTCTTCTTTATTTTTTCAAGGGTCTTTGCAGATGTATAATGCAGATGTATAATGTATATCTTTGCAGATATATAATGTATATCTTCTTTGGAAAATATTCAACTTTTTTGACCATTTTTAAATTAGCTTGTTTGCTTTTTGTTATTCAGTTGTAGTTCTTTATATGTTCTGAATATCAGTTCCTCATCAGATGTGATTTGCACATATTTTCTCCTACACCATGGGTTGCTTTTTCACTCTCTTGACTGTCCTTTGGTGCACAAAAATTATTAATTTTGATGAAGTTTACTTTATCTATTTTTTTCCTTTTGTTGCTGTGCTTTTGGGGTTGTCCAAAAAATCATTGCCAAATCCAATATCATGAAACTTTGCCCCTGTATTTTCTTCTAAGTTTTATAGTTTTAGCTCCCACATTTAGGTCTTTGATCTATTTGAGTTTATTTTTGTATATAATGTAAGGTAAGGGCCAGGATTTTTTTAAAGATGTACTTTTGATTCCCACCAAATCTTGGTGAAAGCCTGTGTCAGGCAGTTAAGAAAATGACACAAATATTCAAGCCAACATTTGTTCTGAATGATTTTTCTTCCTCATATAGGCTTAGGTGGTTTCCCAACAGACAGGTGAAAGAAAGCGTTTGGGGAACTGATGGCTCATGTAACTAGGATACAGCAGTGAGGTGGCAGTTGGGCTCAGCAAGTGTTTTGTTGTAAATATGCTTGAAGAAATCCCCAAAAAGAGAACAGCAGGAGTAGATAGTGGCTTAGGCTAGAAAAAACATGCATGTGGGTGTTATGTATGTACATATATTTGCAGCAGAGGGAAGGAGAGAGGACACTGTTGTTGGGAACTGTGGGCTATAGAAGATAAAAACATCTTTTATACAAAAATAAATTTCTTTTCATGCTGCTTCAGAGAAAATCTAAATTAGCTACAATTATGTGCTAATTATGTTTCCAAAACAGTTGTCCTAGCTCTGTTTTATTGTGGACAGAACCTAGCCGCACTTAACAAAATGTGAAGTCTGTCTGGACTTCCCTTGGAGAAGACTGAAAAGGACGAAGAATCCCCAGGCTGTGTGAGCTGCCTTGCCTAGCTTCAAATGTCTGCACTGGACTGGCTGCTCTCTGACGGGCTTGGAGATGACAGTAGTGCCATTTCCCTAATGATGTAGTGCCATGCTAATGCAACTCAGGGTCTCAGGGGTCTCCCCACATGAACAAGATTCTCTATTAGGCTCTCATTGGAATGCTTGACATTGGCAGTTGGCTGTCCAAATTCTAAATAAATTAATGTTAAATCTTCTTTTTTTTTTGAGATGGAGTTTCGCTCTTGTCGCCCAGGCTGGAGTGCAATGGCATGATCTCGGCTCACTGCAACCTCCACCTCCCGGGTTCAAGTGATTCTCCTGCCTCAGCCTCCCAAATAGCTGGGATAACAGGTGCCTGCCACCATGCCTGACTAACTTTTGTATTTTTTTTTAGTAAACACGGGGTTTCTCCATGTTGGCCATGCTGGTCTCGAACTCCTGACCTCAGGTGATCCACCCATCTTGGCCTCCCAAAGTGCTGGGATTACAGGCATGAGCCGCTGCGCCCAGCCTGTTAAATCTTTTAAAACTCTGACTTCAAAACCTATGAGAAACAAACTGGAATCCAGCCCATCCCTGTTTTGGTTTTCACAGGGACTGGTTTAGGTCCTCAGCAGCGTGGGCTGCTGTAGGTCCTCATTTTCTCTTTGCCATAAAAAGGGATTTGGGAAAGAGGAAATAACTAAGCCAATTAAATTTTCTGATGCAGGATGGGATAAGATGGGCCATGCTTTCGGAAAAAACAATTTGCAAGACTGGTATACTATATTTCCCTTGAAGCATTAAAGTCATTTCACACTTTATGAACTCGAAGAATATCCAGTGTTTCCCTGTGAGCCTGGGAATAAATGATTAGGTCAAATCGGGGTGTTTTTAC